GCTGACAGAAGACTAGAAATAACTAAGATCAGAGAAGAATTAAAGGAGATAGAGACCCAAAAAAACCTCGAAAAAAAAAATCAATGAGGTCAGGAGCTAGTTTTTTGAAAAAATTAACAAAATAGACAGACTGCTAGCTAGACTAATAAAGAAGAAAAGAGAGAAGAATCAAATAGACACAATAAAAAATGATAAAGGGGATATCCCTACTGACCCCACAGAAATACAAACTACCATCAGAGAATACTATAAACACCTCTACATAATAAACTAGAAACTCTAAAAGAAATGGTTAAATTCCTGGGCACTTCCCCTCCCCCCGCTCAATTAAGACTAGACCAAGAAGAAGTGGAATCCCTGAATGGACCAATAACAAGTTCTGAAATTGAGGCTGTAATTAATAGCCTACCAACCAAAGAAAGTCCAGGACCAGATGGATTCACAGCTGAGTCCTACCAGAAATACAAAGAGGAGCTGGTACCATTTCTTCAGATACTATTACAAGCGATTGAAAAGGAGGGATGCCTCCCTAACTCATTTTATGAAGCCAGCATCATCCTGATAACAAAATCAGGAAGAGACACAACAAAAAAAGGACACTTCAGGCCAGTATCTCCGATGAGTATCAATGGGAAAATCCTCAATAAAATACTGGCAAACCGAATTCAGCAGCACATCAAAAAACTTATCCACCAGGATCAAGTTGGCTTCATCCCTGGGATGCAAGGCTGGTTCAACATACACAAATCAAAAAACATATTCTATCACATAAGCAGAACGAAAGACAAAAACCACATGATTATCTCAATAGATGCAGAAAAGGCCTTTGATAAAATTAAACATCTTTTCTTGTTAAAAACTCTCAATAAACTAGGTATTAATGGAACATATCTCAAAATAATAAAAACTATTTATGACAAACTTATCCAACCAATATCATATTGACTGGACAAAAGCTGGAAGCATTCCTGTTGAAAACTGGTACAAGACAAGGATGTCCTTTCTCACCACTCCTATTCAACATAGTATTGGAAGTTGTTGCCAGGGCAATCAGGCAATAGAAAGAAATAAAAGGTATTCAAATAGGAAGAGAGGAAGTCAAATTGTCTCTGTTTGCAGACAACATGATTGCATATTTAGAAAACCCCATTGTCTCGGCCTAAAAACTTCTGAAACTGATAAACAGCTTCAGCAAAGTCTCAGGATACAAAATCAATGTGCAGAAATCACAAGCATTCCTTTACGCCAACAACAGACAAACACAGAGCCAAATCATGAATGAACTCCCAATCACAATTGCTACAAAGAGAATAAAATACCTAGGAATACAGCAAAAAGTGATGTGAAGAACCTCTTCAAGGAGAACTACAAAGCATTGTTCAAGGATGTAAGAGAGGATACAATCAAATGGGAAAACATTCCATCCTTCTGGATAAGAAGAATCAATTTTATGAAAATGGCCATACTGCCCAAATTGATTTGTAGATTCAATGCTATTCCCATCAAAATGCCATTGACATTCTTCACAGAATTAGAAAAAGCTATTTTAAGTTTCATATCTAATCAAAGAAGATCACATATAGCCAGGACAATCCTAAGCAAAAGGAACGAAGCTGGAGGCATCATGCTACCTGACTTCAAACTATACTACAAGTCTACAGTAACCAAAACAGCATGGTACTGGTACCAAAACAGACATAGAGACAGATGAAACAGAACAGAGACCTCAGAAATAACACCACACATCTACAACCATCTGATCTTCAACAAACCTGACAAAAACAAGCAACAGGGAAAGGATCTCCTATCCAGTAAATGGTGCTGGGAAAACTGGCTAGCCACATGCAGAAAACTGAAACTGGACCCCTTCCTTACATCTTACACAAAAATTAACTCAAGATGGATTAAAGACTTAAACGTACAACCCAAAACCATAAAAACCTAGAAGAAAATCTAGGCAATACCATTCAGGACCTAGGCATGGACAAAGACTTCATGACAAAAATGCCAAAGGCAATTGCAACAAAAGCCAAAATTTACAAATGGGATATAATTAAACTAAAAAGCTTCTGCACAGCAAAAGAAACTATCATCAGAGTGAACAGGCAACCTAGAGAATGGGATAAAATTTCTGCACTCTACCCATCTGACGAAGGTCTAATATCCAGAATTAACAAGGAACTTAAATGAGTTTATAGGAAAAAAACAAACCACCCCATCAAAAAGGGGGCAAAGGATATGAACAGACACTTCTCAAAAGAAGACATTTATGTGGCCAACAAACATGAACAAGTTAGGACCAAAAAACAAAAGCAGATGGACACTAAAACAACAGGTATAAAATGGAAATGTCCCTGACAAACACGTATGGTCACCCTACTTATGAGGTCAGAAATAGATTTTATGTTCTAATTGACTCTTAAGGAAATAGTTGCATTATCGCCTCTTCTTAAACTTAATTTATTTTTGCTAGGAATCCAGCACACATGGGCTTACACTCTACAGGCTGTTATGCAAACCAATGGTTTCTGTATGTCAATTGTGATTCTAGCATTGTGTCCTCTATCAGTGCCCCAGGAAGAGGGACTGCCTGGCTGTGAACATGTTCCAGATTGTGCTAGATGTATTTTGCCAACCAGGCCAACCTGAAATGTCTAAGTCCATCTTTGGAGGAGAGCTCATCAAGCCCTGAGGGAATATAATTTCACTTCAGTTATCTTTTTCAAAATGTCAAATTTGAGATCCTCAAATTTTTCATTTAAAATGTGTGACTAGGTTAATATGAGGCAAGAACAGAAAATTTTGGTCTCTAGTCTTTTGGGGGCAAACTATAATCTATTTCCCATTAGCCCACAGCTATTCTTATCAGGCTTTTGTCTTAGTTATCTTTTTTTCCCTTCAAAATGGTTGCTGAACAGAAGAATTAAAAGTTTTTCATGTCTTTTTAGTATTTGTTATCTTTCTACTTCTTATATGAAGTAGTTAGAAGAACAAATATTGTAGATTTAGACAAATGTGACTTAAACTTCAGGTATATCAATATCCCTTGAATGTCAACATACTCAAATCACCTAATCCAGTTGGGAATATTAATAATATCATGGAACTTGCTGTCAGGATTAATGAGATGTTCCAGGTAAAGAGCCTAGCACAGTGTTTAGCAATTAGTAGGTGGCCAATAATAAATGGCAGCTATAGTTATCAATGAAGAGATACACGATTTTAAGTAGGTAGGACTGGCTGTGAAGAAAATGGTCACATAAGTGACTTCATACTCTATTTCAGCTTCCTTCCCACTCTCCCTCCTTCCCTCCACACACACCATGTATGCCATCTCCTATTGCCAGTACTTGGGACTCTCATATGCTCCTGGACCACTGTCTTTTCCTAGTCTAGCATCTTCTGTTCCTGGTTTATTTTCCTCATCTGTTTCCTTCCAGACCTCCCAGTCCTATGACCTCTGCTTTTGCTTCCTGCCATGTGCAACCTTGGAAAGTTTCTGTTAATGTCATTTATGCCAAATGTTAAAGACTAACATCATTTTCCTATGCTAATCTTGCCAGGAGGTATTTCCATTTTAATGAAGGTCAACATCATAACGTAATTGAATAAAAGTGCAAAACATAAGTTGGAGGTATCAGCAATAGGGAGAGAAGAAGTATTTTCAAGAGATGGACTCAAGATAACAATAAAAATAATGAACAGCTAACATTTATTCAGTGCCAACTTTATTTTGCACTGTGTATTATATGCATTACTTCATTTAACCCTCACAACTAATAAATTAGTTACTATTATTATTTTTATTTTTCTAATTAAAAAAATGAAGCTTGGAGAGGTAAAGCAAATTGCCCAAAGTCGTATACACCGAGTAAGTGAAGAAGACAGGTTTAAAACTCAAGTCCATCTGATTATTGTCATCTCTCTTACACTATCCCTTACAGGCTGAATTTTCACCAGGGCAGGTATCTACTGACCCTTCTTATAATCATTCTGTAGAGCCTAGTGCAGTGCCTGAAAAATGGTATAATATGAATAATATATATGAATAATATAATTATTATATTCATATAATAATATGAATCATATAAGTATGAATAAATATCTGCCTTGCTCATAGTCACCTCACCATACCTTTCTGGAATCACCTCTTGCTTGGAGGCCCTGCCTTGCTCCATATTCTAAGAAATCCAGACTGCTAGTAGTTCCAAATACACTCTTTTATTTTCTGTGTGTGTGTCTGTCATCTTGTCCCCTGTATCTGCAATCCCTCACTTCCCCACAGTTTCTGGGCTAACTTCCATTTACCCTGAGAGTGACAGAGTTCACGAGTGATCTTTCCCCATGAAGCACCGTCACGCTGGCCTCATCTCTCGTCCTCTCCCCACATATTCTCTTCCCCTTTCCTACCTTGATTCAACTGAGCCAGGGCTATTTCTGTGTCTGCGTCACAGATAATAGGGTTTATGAGGGCAGATATCTGACATGTTTTTCTTCTTTATTTTACCTGACTTATTTGTACCCCTTTTTAATCTGACTTTTTTTCTTGTACTCTTCTGGCCTAGCCTACTCTACCAATTCTGAGGTGCATTTTTTTTTCATATTTTAATACCTCTGATATTGTTATGCTGTCCAGTTGATAAAATCTTAAAATTATAATTGACAGTGGCTTTTTTTAAAACTTGGTGAAACAAAAATAAGGGTTAATTTCCTTCTACAATCAACAGCATCTTTGATTTGATGAAATATAGTGATAGATGTTAAAGATCATATGAACGAATGAATGGCACTCACAGCCCTCCTTGAGTCACATTACTATGCCTACTTAAAACCTAACTGTTCAGCATCACAGGCCTCATGGCAGGGCAGCAGTTGAACATTATTCTTTATTTATGCTAGGCTTTCCTAGTAAAGGTAGGGCAAATAATAAATCAGCTAAAATTGTTTTTAATCATTTCTTGCTGGAATGATGTGACCTGTCCCATATGTTTATCTTCCAGGTGAAATTGATCTTCAAATTGTCTCCAAAGTTCAGGCTCAATACCCAAGAGTTTGTATCAACAATGAAGTTGTTGAGCCAAGTGCTGAACAAATTGCCAAATACAAAGGTACCTGTAACTCCTGGTCCTCTACCCCAGATCCTATCCCAAAAGACTCAACTCAAATTGTTCCCTTGAATGATTAATAATATAGTTACTGTGGTATGCTATTCACAAGCTTAGTGGGAGAAGAACTGAATTAGTTCTTGGCAGGCATGACTAAACATCTCAAAATGTGAACAGTGAATAATAAACTCCCTTTTCTATTGACACTTAATCCATTCCCCAGTTGTCATCAATGATTACCTTTTGATGTTTATGCTTAGATAGAGATTCATTCATTGATCCAGAATTATTTAAACCAACCTTAAAGAGCTTATGTTTAGTGGGTTACAGTAAAAGTTCACAAACTTTTCCTGGCAAAGACCAAATAGTAAATATTTTAGACTCAGAAGGTCAGTCCAGTCTCTGTCACAACTAATCAACCTGCCATGTACCACAAAGGCAGCCAAAAAAAGGTAAACTAATGAGCGCGGCTGTGTTTGAATAAAACTTTATTTGTAAACACTAAAATTTGAATTTCATATCATTTTCACATATGAAATAGCATCCTTCTTTTGTTTTTTTAAATCATTCAAAAATATAATGACGTGAAACATGAATGGCAGTGACACAAAGTCAGGAAGTAGAACAATATAAGTTTTTAGCTTGCAGTTCATACAAAAATAAGTAGCAGGCTAGATATAGTCCCTGGACAGTGGTTTGCCTACTCCTGAATTATACAAACATATCATCTCTTTCCAATTCACTTTCCATTGATAAAATTCACCAGTTGATTCTTCATTAATACTAAGACAATATAGCCTGTGTCTGCCCAGGGGTCTTGTAATTATTTCTTACTGACTCTTTCTTTCACCTCTAATTTCATTAAATACTAGAAAAACAGCAGTATGAACTCTCTGGTCTCCCAGACATAAGAAAGAAAAATGTTCTTTCTATCTGTTTGTATATAACATTGATTACATTAAAATTATATATGGAAATGGGTTCCACATTTGCAATTAAAATTGATGGTGTGTCATCTCTTCTCTGTATTTTAGAGCTTGTAGCCAAGACACCAAACCTTGAGAATGTAAAGTTTGCTTGGCATAACGAGACATCATCTGAATATCAAAGAAGAATGTTGGAGAAAAAGGAGGTTCAAAAGTGGGACTTTATTCATATGATTCAGGTAAGAATATGTATTATAAAAAGAAGACTTTTCATATATATATATATGTGTGTGTATATATAATGAATACCTACTATTCTAACTTTTAAAAGGAAAATGAAAATCTTCTGATTTCTAATTTTAAAAGTGACTATGATCTGCCCAAATAAATGATGAAGATGTTTATAATACTAAGATTCTCTTTAACATTCAAAAAACCAGTTTTCTCTAATCAAAATACATCTACAGTTATCCATTGTTAAAAATGTTGGCTTAATTCTTATTTCTTTTTTTGAGATGGGAGTCTCACTGTGTCACCCAGGCTGGAGCATGGTGGCATGATCTTAGCTCACTGTAGCCTTAACCTCCTGAGCTTAAGCAATCCTCCCACTCCAACTTCCTGGTTAGTTGAGACCACAGGTGTGCACCGCCACACCCAACTAATTTTTTTATTTTTTGTAGAGCTGCGGCCATACTATGTTGCCCAGACTGGTCTTGAAATCCTGGGCTCAAGTGATCTTCCCACCTCAACCTCCAACAGTGTTGGAATTATAGGTGTGAGCCACTGCACCCAGTCTTTAATTTATTTTTATATCATTGAATGTTTATATAGAGATTTGAGAATGATAACATCATAACATATTCTCTAGTGACTCTAAAGGTTTGGGTGGACCAATGTCCCAGAGTGTTTCTGTAGTGGACATATCGTCGAAGGGGCAGATTAAATGATGCCTCAGTTCAATAAATTTGTACTTCCATCATCCAGATCCAACAAACTGACTCACACATGTTATAGAAAAGGAGTGACTATTGAGTAGATAACATGGGGCTGGATTTCCAGAGATAACTAATATTTCTGAATAGCATAAGGGATGTATGGGTTTTGGAAGCTGGTTACCATTGGGAAATGTACATATTTTGGCAATACCACTTGATTAACAACAAAACACTATTTTTCTTCCTGGTCTACGATAGTCACCCCAAAAGAATAAACTTACTACAAGTCAAAGGAAGAAATACTCCGATTTTGTCATATACAGGCAATTCTATGTCTCTGCTTCTTTAGCTGATGAAATCTTTTGCCTGTCAGGTAGTACTTTTCACTGTCCAGGATGCCAAGATATTTCTCTACCAGATTTGCTTTTGTTCCCACTTCCTCACATAACTGTTTTATAACTCCCCTCTCTCCTTACTACTCCTGCAGTCTCTTCCAGATCATTCATTCTGAACCGATGACCTCACTTCACAATGTATAGAGAAAATAGAAACTACGAGATAGAAACTCATTTTTCACCTACTAACTTTGCAAACATAACTGCATTTGTGCACCATCTCCTTCTTCCATCTTACTGCAAAAACCTCCTTTTATCAAAAAACACTCCCTCTGCTTAACCCTGGATCCTATTCTTTTCTCTGTAATAAATGTTTTGATTTCGGGAATCAACTTCTCTTTCCTATTTCTCTTAAAACTTCCATGTTTCTTCCTTCTTTCTTACAGCAATTCTGTTTCCCTCTGCATCTCTATCCTGTTCTTCTCTCTCCATCTCTGTCTACGCCCCATTTTTCTGTGCAGCATCTGTGCCTCTCTGTTACTCACTATAGTCCTCACACACTCATGATACTTTTACAACCTCAATGTCAATTCAGAAAATTTCACTGTCTTTGAGAAAAATTTAAGGGATCTTCTATGGGCCACCTCTGCATTTCTATCCAGGTCATATTGCAGATTATTAGTCATCATATTGATTTGCTATATTTGGGTACCTGCCTATGGTCCCTGTGGTGGAAAATGTGGAGTGTGGTCCCTAAGGTACCATGAGCCATGCACAGGTCAGGTCCATTTTATTTCATTCATTCATATGAAAGAGGCATAGCTAAAGTACTTTTCTTTTGTGCAATGAGTTCTCTAAGGACAGGCTATTTGGAACATTGAATTCTTGTCCAACAAAGATGAAGATGAGATATAAGAAGTGTCTATGGGGGTGGGGTCCAAAGATGCAAGCCATGGGGAACAACTTCCCATTGTCAATACCTAAGTCCAAGCTCTGTGTTGGGTGGAAAGGCCTGTACTTCACTAGAGATTGGTCCATAATTATTAAAAATGGGTGGCCTGACCCCTAAACACCCTGTGGCCAAGCAGATAACCTCATGCTTTATTTAGTCCAACTTCCTACAGAATCTGTCATCATCAGAGCCTGTCACATTTTCTGTGATTTTAAAAAAGCATCTGTGAGCATATGGAGAAGCTAGTGCAAAGGGCTTAATTGTAAAGCAACGGTCCATGAAATGGGATCCGTTTTTATGGTGCCGAAACCATTTTCTCCCAGAAGAACTGCAATTCACGATATAGAATAGGCATAGGATTCATGTCCCCATGTGGAATGGTGACTAAGTGTCTCCAGCTATAAATGTCTATGCTATGGCAGCCAGAAAGAGTAAATTTAAAACCATTTGACTCTAGTCGAACAAATACCATACTTTTCCATTTCCCCAAATATTTTCTCACATTATTGTTCTATGTCTTCATGCAACGTCTTTTATTTTTAAATTTCTTAAGTGTTTTCTTCAATAAAAATTAACTCAACTAGAAAATCAAACTTTCTAGGAGTATCTAGCCCAAGCAATAAAGACTTCAACATAAAGAAGCATCTCATTTCTCTTTTTCCTCATTTCTAGATGCTGTATTATGTAAAAGACATCCCAGCTACCCTGAAATTCTTCCATAGTCTCTTAGGTACCAATGCTAAGATTCTCATTATTGTTGTGTCAGGTAAGTTATTTTCATTCAGCCTGAATTTAAAAACAGCAATAGTACATGTATGCATGGACCCCTGTGTTTGAAAGAAGCTTATGTATTTTGTCTTCATTATGAAATTCTTGCCTTGGCCTCTAATCATCACCAGCTAATTTTCACAGTATTAGGGAAGTTATTCACAACAGTTCTCAATTTAGAAGGTATAATGGAATTAAACATTTGTTTACTTCTTTCTTTTGGTAAAATATGTCTTTCTCTTCTATGTAAGAATCCTTTTTGTAAAGCTTAGAGTAAATTCAACTGACAAAAGATTTTAAATGAGACTAAAAATAGTAAACATTTATTTTACCTACTTTGTGCCATTTGAATGTTTCTTTTCCCTCTGTGATGTTTATTAATAAATAAAGGTTTAAGTATTTCAGATATCATCAAATTTAATTAACTTGCATTCTTAGAGCCATGATCAACACTGCTTGCTATAGGTTTTTTCAAATGCCTATCAAAAACAGTTCATTTGTTGTGTTTTGTGTTGGTGTTTTATTTCTAGCGAGGCATGTGAGCATGACCAGTTGCTGGCAGGGATCTAGTATCACACAGAGAACACAAGTAAACATTTTTAGATAATGAAACATTGACATTGTTGAGGACAGTATTTATTACTTCTTTCATTCAGCAATCTTTATCGATTGTCCACCAGTACTTATGGGTTGATTTTAGATACACAACAGACTCTGTCTCCCTAAAGTTATACCAGACCCCATACTTGGGCACTGTATGTCAAAAAATTGATTTGTTCTTAAACATGAAGAATTGCTTTAAAGATGGCAAACATGGTTATAGCTTGTAATCCTGGGTTTGACCTTATGTGAAAGTTTGGCAATAGAGAGCTCCTATACACAACCTCTCCGCCAAGGGAACATTTAGATACACTATTTTTATCTCTAACTCATTAAAAATACTCATTCATGTGGGAGAGGTCTCACTTCCCATTTAGAAGGGCTTATGGAAACTGGATTCATCTTACTAACCTCTCTCTGAACTAATAAAGTGCTATGAACTGCATTTAGAATTGCAAAGTAAACTTAGTTATCAACATTGTAGGCAGCCTATTCTTGATGATATTCATCAATCATACAGAAAAAGTATTGTAGACAGAAATAACAATTCATTGAGAAGTCATATATTTTTTATCTTAGAATATGTTTCATCTCAATGGTAGATCTAATCTTTTATTTATATTTGGTTTATTCCAACATATTTTCAGAAGTTAAGTATCTGAGCACCCAAAAGTTAGCTATCTATGAGTGTATATTACCAATAAGACAAAGCCAGCCTGAAGTTTAGAAGGGAGCATGAATAGTCCACATGTAACTGAGAAGTGACTAAGTGCCCTTATGGCTACAGTATTCTGCTGGCTGTATCATGAATGAATTAATTGATGATTATTGGCATCAAGAAGCTTGAAGACCAAAATGAACTCAATGACATGTGTTGTATGTTAATACATGGAGCAAGAATACTGAGGCACTTCTAGCTATGTGAATTTGGTCTCTGCATCTCAGTTTATTCAAGGGCTATTTCTGGATAACCATATCTGCATTATGTTACATCTTTTCATATATGTGGTTCATGAGTACCGTCTGTAAATAAACATTCATAATTTAAAAAATCAAAAGAAAGGGAGTAAAGACTCAAAAATCAGTTAGCTTTTTTTGAAAAGTATTTTGAGTCAAAAATTATTTAATCAATGTATTTGATGATGGAAATGTTTTATTCACTTTCTCAATATGCAGTTAACAATTCTTCATTACTGCTTATAGCACAGGAGACAGCTATTCCAAAGAGGAAAACATTGTTAATAGACATAAGAATGCAATGAATAACATTTGACAGATTATTAAAGAGATTTTGATGATCTCCTTCCTTTACCATATGCACTTCTTAGAAGAGATTTACACAGCTATAGCCATCCATTTTTTCCTAAAAGAAAAACCACTTAGCAAAAGTAGAAGAAAGATTTAGATATTTTATTTGGGGTTTTCTGCTTCTCTTTCTCCTAAAGCTAAGAATGTCTTGACTTTTTTTGCCTCTATTTGTCAGAATGCTAAGTAAATAAATTAATTAAATATAAGTTAATTTTTTAAAAAACCCGCTTTTCACATTAATGATTACTTTGCAGTGAAAAATAATTCTACCTGAAAAGAGAAATAGAATTGTGAGCTATGTTGATCATTGTCATCAATTTAGTATAACTGGAATGCCCCCAGATTCTCCAGTCCTATGGGCATGTCATACTTAACTCTTAAACATCCAGAGTAAATGACGGAGCTCTCATTTCAAGTAACTTGGGTAATCCATTCCCTCATCACCATTCCTTTACTCCTGAGGATTCCTGAGGTCAGACTTAAATGCTCCTGATGATTGCCATCCACTGCCTGCTCCAAGTTCAACTTTTGATTTCTTCTCTCTAAATCTTTCATGTACTGCAACTGCCCTTTCTCATCTTATTTCACATTGCCCTAACCATGGACATAGTCCTACCTCCTTCCTTCTCCAAAACACCGTTCTTGCTTTTGACAGATGTTGAAACCTGTGGGGGAGAAAGAGGAACAAAGAACAGAATTCAGCATTAAGGTCCCACCGTGACTCTTTCTCACCTTTCTCTTGCTCAGTCTGGACTCCCTTCCATTGAACCTGCTCTCATAACTTCTCTCAGCCTTCCCTCATATCCTCTTAGTTCAGTGCTGAGATGCCACCTCCTCACTTTCTGTTGCAACCCTCTTTTTTAAGTTTTATTTTAAGTTTGGGGGTACATCTGAAGGTTTGTCACCTAGGTAAACGTGTCCGGTGGCAGGGGGGTTGTTAAACAGATTATTTCATCACCCAGGTATTAATCCCACTACCCAATCATAATCTTTTCTGCTCCTCTTCCTCCTCCCACCCTCCTTCCTCAAGTAGACTTCAATGTCTGTTGTTTCCTTCTTTGTGTTCATCAGTTCTCATCATTAAGCTCCCACTTATAATTCAGAACACGCAGTATTTGGTTTTCTGTTTCTGCGTTAGTTTTCTAAGGCCAATAGTTTCTGGCTCCATCCATGTCCCCAGAAAAGATATGATCTCATTTTATTTTTTTATGACTGCATAGTGTTCCATAGTGTATATGTATCACATTTTCTTTAACCAGTCTGTCACTGATGGGTATTTAGGTTGATTCCATGTCTTTGCTGTTGTGAATAATCTTGCAATGAACATTTATGTGCATGTTTCTTTATGATAGAATGATTAATATTCCTCTGGGTATATACCCAGTAATGGGATTCCAAACTATACTATAGGGGGGTACAGTAACCAAACAGCATGGTACTGGTACAAAAACATAGACCAATGGAACAGAATAGAGAAACCAGAAATAAGGCCACACACCTACAACCATCTGATCTTTGACAAAGCTGACAAAAACAAGCAATGGGGAAAAGACTTCTTATTCAATAAATCGGGCTGGGATAACTGGCTAGCCATATGCAGAAGATTGAGGCTGGACTCCTTCCTTATACTCTATATAAAAATCAACTCACTATGGCTTAAAGACTACCCAAAACTATAAAAACCCAGAAGACAACCTAGGCAATACCATCCTGCACATAGGAACAGGCAAAGATTCCATGACAAAGACACCAAAAGCAATAAAAACATTAGCAAATAGCATCTAATTAAACTTAAGAGCTTCTGTACAGCAAAAGAAACTATCAACAGAATAAACAGACAACCTACAGAAAGGGAGAAAATATTTGCAAACTATGAATTTGACAAAGGTCTAATATCCATCATCTATAATGAACTTAAATTTACAAGAGAAAAACAACCCCATTAAAACGTGGGCAAAGGACGTGAATAAACACTTCTCAAAAGAAGACAGAGATGTGGCCAACAAACATTTGAAGAAAAGCTCAACATCACTGATCATTAGCAAAATGAAAATCAAAACCACAATGAGATACCATCTCATACCAGTCAGAATGACTGTGTATTAAAAAGACAAAAAATAACAGATGCTGATGAGGTTGTGGAGTAAAAGGAACACTTATACATTGTTGGTGAGAGTGTAAAGTGGTTCAACCACTGTGGAAAGCAGTATGGCAATTTCTCAGAGAGTTAAAAGAAGAACTACCAGTTGACCCAGCAACCCTCTTATAGAGTAGTTTAATTCCTTTTTATTCTATTTCTGTCACCTAGATAAACCTGTGCATACATGAACTTGGCTTAACAACAATACATTTCCCTGAGATAAATTATTTTGCTCCCCTCCCTGAGATGAGCCTCATCTCATTCATAAAGCATCAGAAGAAGAGTTCAGTTCATGTCTGTCTCCCTCAGATAAGGTATATGATGAAGGTGACTGTAGTTTC